TTTTTTGCAAATACTCAAATACTTGAATGTTTAATTAGTTTAAACTAATTAAATATTCGAGTATTCAAGTATTTGCAAAAAAAATTTTTTTTTTGTACTCTCAACTATTTTGAAAACAGCTATAAGCCGCAAAAGGTGGCATCCTAATTAAAATTTAAGTCAGACCTCCCTAAGTGCACGGATTACGTAAACTCTCTAAATGCACGGTCCCAGCTTATAAGAGCTCTATATATATGCTCTCTATAAATGCGCACCCTCTCTAAGTGCACACTTTTCAATTTTTCTCCTATGGTCCCGAAAGGGTGCACTTAGGGAGGTCTGACTGTATTCTTGTTTTTTTTCAGTTTTTATGTTACACCTATAATTAATATCGAATATAACACCTTAAAAAAATTCAGGGGAGGGAGGGACGGTCGCGCTACCTATATTCCAAAAAAGGTGTTCTCAAACATCTTTCGATGTATATAGTGTGAATGCGAAAAAAAAGATGATCTCGATCATCATTTTTTTTTTCATAACCTATTTTCACTAATTAAAAATTGATCACCAACCTATTATTAATCAAGTGCTTGAGAACACTTTTAGTTTATACGTTCGTTAATAAAATCTTAATCTCTAATTAAACAAAGGAAAATTCCAAAGTTCAAACCTTCCCTTTTTCACGACCTATTGTCTCTCCCCAGGGCGTATCAACAACAGTGTTAATCATATCGATATGAATTACAGACATTTTTATGTTGGCATTATTAATACAACTTTTAATACTTTAAAACAAATAAGGACCTATCGATTACATTTGTTAAATCTCAAGAAAATTAACAAACATCAAAATTTTTCATCATTGCAACCAGTTCGCAATCCGTATACTAAGCCTATGAGATCTTTATTTCACAGTACCGCTCATAGACTTAATAAACATTTAATAAAGGAAATTAAGCAGAATCAAAATTCACTAGAAATAAATTGGTCTTCAGATAATAAAGCAATATCAAACTTTAACTATATTTGGTTACGAGATAATTGTCAATGTTCACAATGTATACATCCCGATAATCGACAAAAACTTTTTTTAAGTTCTCAAGTTGCTTTAGATATTAAACCTATTAAGGTTCGTATTTCTGAAGAACTGGATGAACTTGAAATTACTTGGCCTTCTTCAACTTCGGAAGTGAAATCATCTGATTCATCTGATAACTCATTTCATAAAGGTAGATACCCGTTCACATTCTTAAAATCTTATATATCCAAAACTACTGCAAGCCAACTTCGATTTTCAGATCAAAAACATATAACATGGGATCGTGATTCAATAAAGTCATCAAAAAATCTTTGGGTATCATACGAAGAATATATGAGTTCTGATGAAAGAATTTTTGATTCAGTGGAGCAATTGTGGAATTATGGATTGATATTTTTGAAAAATGTTCCGATTGAGAAAGATAAAATAACAAAGGTTGATCTAATTAGAAAAGTTGTGGAAAGAATTGGGACATTGAAAGCTACTTTTTATGGTGAACTTTTTGATGTAAAGTCTGTTCCTGGTGCTAAAAACATTGCATATACTAGCTTGGGCTTGGGATTACATATGGATCTACTGCAAGTATTATATGAATTATTACTATTCAATTTCAATACCGTAAATATTGGACGCGGGGTATTTCCATAATTTAATTTTATACCCGGGTATTTCTATATGGTAATACACTAGGGTTGCGCCTCAACTAATAAATCAAATGTATGCTGCTTTAGTCCGTTTGAACCAAGTTCAGGTTCAAGTGAACCCGAAGTGGTCAATTTGAGCCAAATTTTGGCTCTCAAGGTTCTCAAGTGATCCTGAAGTTTTTTTAAGAAGAAATTAATTTAATATGAACCATTTCGGGTTCACTTGAGCCAAAGTTTAGTTTAATCTGAACCGCTTTGGGTTCACTTGAACCTAAATTTGATTCAAGTTGAATCATAGAATACCGAGAGCCTGCTTGGGAGGTGGATCAAAAAACTATATTCATTTTTCATTCCCAATAGACACATCTAAATTACAATGTCTTTTCGGTAAATTTATCAAGATTGTTGGTTACTCTATACTGGATCTGAGAAATACATTGGAACTTCCCGGAAAAGAAAAGGGTGCTCTCCTAGAGTAAGAGTTATTCATCCTGAAATTAAGATTGGATTTTGTGTATTACCAAATATTTTTGGAGATGTCCAAGATGATGTAAGAATATAATTAAGAATGTAGAAAAGAAAAATCTCTGATGATTTATATCGAATCTGCACTTTTGATATCACGTGCTAATTTACATTGCTATCGCAATATACTATTTCGTTTATCACGCAGCTGACGTTGATGAACCTGATCTTCCAGCTCACAGATATTTTTTTTTAATATACAATTTTTGAAAGTACAATCACATCAAACAAATTTTATGACCTTATACATCCAAATATAATCAATTTTTCGAATTCTTTTGTCTTTAAAGGATATGAAAGATTTTCTTGAAAATAAACTTATGTAGTCTTAACCTGTATCATGACGACATTTCCTTGAAAGATCTTCTCGATTTAAAAACAGGTGAACCACGTTCTTTGAACAGAGTTTTCCGATCTATAATACCAAAAGAGTGTTACCTGTGTCAGTAGATGTACAAATTGCAAGGATTGGAATCTACCTAGCCTTTAAAGAGAAAAATACAGAAGCGTTAGTAGAAAATAAATTACTCAATTGCCATAAAATAGTCACTCTTGGAAAATGTAGATTAAACACTTAACCGGGGACAAAATAACGAGCGTAAATAGCATTTTGATTTAGGATTAATCAAACATCAAAAACATATTTATTCAGATATAATATTAGCAAATGGAATTAACACAATTAATGTTACTATTTTCCATCAAAGACTCAAAAGATACTTTGAAGCAGTACTTTTGCTTATGGAAATATAGCAAAATAAGACTAGAAAATTATGGAGAGAAAAAACACTATTGACAAACTTTCATACTGTAGTAAATAATCTGAATTTTCCAGAGACAATAATTCTCTCGTTTTTCTATGTCATTATCGGGAACGAAAAATGAAAAGTTTTCACCATGTGCATCAACATTTGATTCAGATATATTCCAACAAGTCAAGAAAACATTAAATACTTAAGAGGTACTTACAACGCTAATGTTTTAATTAATTGCATTATATAAGTTATATTTCTTTTATAGATATTAAAAATTAAAGCACATTTTATTAAAACACGATCTTTACGTACAGTATTTACAAAATCAAAAGGTTCACAATATTGATATAGTTAAAATTAAAGTAATTTAATATATTAGATTTGCTGTTTTTAAAGTCTAACTATTTTACGAATATTGTGAATTTTTTATAATTCTTTAAAATGTAAACAACATATAAATTGAATATTTAATGTGGCAGATTAAAATGAAATCGGATTAAAATGAAATTTTTCTATTTTTTTAGGAAAATTTAAAATTTTTTGGGAACATATTTACAAGTTTTCTCATTGGTTATGATCCACAACCTAGAGTAACATATTTGAATTCATTAAAATACTTACTACTAAGCAATTGGGTACATCAAATGCAGATTTTATAACTAATTCTATATCCAATCTTATAAATATTCTAGAAAATATTTATTCATTTTTTGGTGCCAAACTTCTGCAATGCACAGAAATAATAAATAATTCAGAAATTGATCTATTAGTAAAAAATTTAGAGTGTAGAATGTAAAAAGGACTTAAGTTACATCAAAAATTGTTGGATTGTTGGATCTTCCTTCCTCTAAGTATGTATTGTCTTGGTGGAGATAATGCCCAACAGTTTGTACATAGTTACTGGTATGCTGTTTTTAAAACTCTTAATCAAAGTTTTCTACTCTAAAAGTACTATTTTATGCATAAAATTTAGAAGAAGATATTGCACAAGGAAGGCTTGAAGATTTTGGTCTTAAAACTGCATTAACTGATGACTTTATTTTTTTAAGAATTTGGCTCTTTTGTTGAAGACTCAAATGTCTCACTTCAAAAATATCCGCGACTATATGATTTTGTCAAAAATAAGATTTGGTATATTATTGTTCATCAACAACAGATAGAAGGCATGTTAATAAGTGAGACTTGAAAAATCACCCTAATATGGCTCAAAGTACTAAAATGTGCTTTTCGGTAACAAATATAAAAGAAGTTCAACTTAATAATGAACGACTTAAAGACATTCGAAACAAAAATAAATCTAAAAAAAAACATTAAATACTGAGTTAGATGGGCAAGAACAAACCGCTAACAAGCTTTTTTTAAAGATGTCGCTAGTTTTTTTAAATCTCAAGATTATCATTTATCATGTGATTATTTATGTAATACTGTAATACGAATGGATACCTGACATAGGTTTGATTAATTAGTATATGCAGGACCCCAATATCTGATCGTTATGAAATCTGAAATCACGAAATGATCTACAAAATATACGTACGTACTTTTCATTGAAATGGATTAACCTTTTTAAGCGTCAATGAATATCATACACAAATAATAGTATTACTATAATAAGATAGCTGCGCAACGCAGTTGTAGGAACGGATGAACCAGTAAATTGTTCTAAAATTCTAGCAGCCTATATATACGTGTATTATAATTGATAAATTATTTCGCATTAATATATACATATATAGTTGTCAATGTAATTATATACTTGATTATAACGCATAAAGTCTTGAATGCTTTAAACTTATTACAGTAATGTGAATTTGCTATAATGTTGTTATTGTAATTCCGTATTGCAATACTATCATATTTGCATAAAGTCTATTAACTCTATCTTTGTATTTAAATTGTTAACCTTATTATCATCACTGCACCTTTAAAATCTTTTATCGCTCTTCTTTCCAATATTTTACAATACGCATATCATTACAATTCACAATTAACGGTTTTTACAGTAAATAATACCGTAAGAGCAGTTACTGCCTTGTAAATAAAGTCCAATATCATCTTTATATGCATGTGTATAATACACACAAAAAAACTCTGTAATATAAGTGCACAACTCAGTGTTAATCAAATGCTAAAAATGGGGATCGTCTAAAGCCGGGTAATAATTTATACGCGTCACGTGATTTTTAATTTACAAATTTGTTAGTAACCAATTTAAAAAACTACCTAGCTTAAGACGATCTCTAAAAATGGTAGGTAGTTGACTATTACGTAGAAAATGTTTGTTATACGATGCATTTAAAACATCCAATAAAAAGCACGGATTTGTAGAACAAGGGCCGATGATTTTCGCAGCTATCGGCTAATTATCAAATTCGTAGAAAGTTCCAAACTCTGGTCAAGAGAAATACCCTTCTTTACTCTCCTTTACACTCAATTGATTTCTCAGAAAAAAAAATGGATTTGGCTGTCGTTAAAAAAGCAAATCCTTCCGAAGAAAAGCATTTTACTTTTGATAAAATTCCTGATCTGGCTGGAAAAGTAATTAGATTTATTATCATCCGAGAAATATAAAATATCTTCCTATTGAATTTGTTATTTATCTATTATCTCTAGGTTGCAATTGTTACGGGAGGAAATACTGGGATAGGTTATTTTACATCTAGAGAATTGGCTAAAAAAAATGCACACGTGTTCATATTAAGTCGTAGTATCGAGAAAGGTCAGGCTGCCGTTGAAAAGATAATATCCGAGACTGGTAATCGAAATGTTGAATTTCTACAATTGAATTTAAGAAGTTTAAAATCTGTTAAAGAATGCGCCGAAAATTTTTTGGCAAGAGATTTACCATTGCATATTTTGTAAGTTTTATTATTATGATTATTATATAATAGTTAAAAAAAAATTGCAAATTTAGCCTAATTAATGGTTATTTGATCATTTTATCAGAATTAACAATGCGGGAATCACAACAACGTAAGCAATAATATTAATATTCCAATTTCTTTCCAATTGTAGCTATAAGAACAATTTTAATAAATAAGGTAATATAATAAATAGTACATTTACACTTACTGAGGACGGAATTCAAGAGGAATTTGGAGTAAATCATGTCGGACACTTTGTAAGTAAACCAATACAATCCAATAAATTGTAAAATAATAATTTTTAAAAAATCATATAATAACAAATATTTTTTTTGTATTTTTAGCTTCTCACTAAATTATTATTATCAAAGATTAAAACTTCACAACCAGCACGTATAGTAAATGTTAGCAGTAGTGGTCATACTAGAGTTGCTGGAATTGAGTTAGAGAAATTAGATGATCCAAATGCACATGACTCGAGGCAACGTTATAGACAATCAAAACTTGCAAATGTTTTATTTACTGACGAATTAAATAAACGATATCTTGAAGGAGAACAAATATATGCTAACTCTCTTTATCCAGGTATCAGTATAATAAAAGAAACTTTTGTCAAAATTTAGCTAAAACAAATTAATTAACCAATTTATATTATTTATTATTTTGGGGACCCCCACAGCAAAAGGGTGCATTGGGACAAAAATTTAAATTTGTAATTTTATAAAAATTGTAATCCTATTAGTCTAATTATTCAAGAAATCAATTAAAATAAAAAAATTTTTTTGGCCCAATGCACCCTTTTGCTGTGGGAGGTCCCATTTACTATTTACTGCATTTAGGTCTCGTAGATACCAACATGTTAAGAAGAAACGATTTATCTTTCCCAGAAACTTTTCTGTCTTCTTCAATTTCACCTGAAGATGGAGCTATCACTACCTTATATTGTGCTACCAGTCCAGAAATAGAAGAGAAAAATTATCGCGGAAAGTATTTTGTTCCATTCGGTGTAGAAGGTGAAAAATCTTCATACGCTGAAGATGAAGATTTGGCTAAGAGGCTTTGGGAATTTACGGAGAATTTCATAAACGGGAAATTATCGCAAAATTAATTGCTTGTTAGTAAATTCTGAATTTCAATATTTGAGTATATTTGGTAAAACAAGCAACTTTTTCCGTTATATTGTAAATGGATAGTTAAATGAATTTCATGTAGTAGATCAATAAATAGTGATTATTCAATAAATTAATATTTTTAAACTGTAAATATCAGGTTTTCTTTATTACAAAGTACTAGACAAAAATATCCAACATATATATAAGTAGTTACATTCTAACTTGATTCTATGTATTACATTACCTCCTCTTCTCTCTCTAGATCCTCACCTTTTTTTCTTATTAAAAAAAAAAAGTTTAATATACATATATAAGTTTTTATAATCGCTGATGTTTTCAAAAAAAATTTATAGTAATAACGATATAAAAATAAATATGAATCAAATGTTAATCTGGAAATTTCCGATATAGACAGTAAATAAACCTAAATTACGTGCATGAACATGGTCAACCAAAATTTAGTAAAAAATAAAAGTAGTTCTAAAATAGAAAAAAATTAAGGCCGGTAAATTGAAAGATCATATAAGAAAATAGTTACCGAACCTTATTTTCTGACAAGACACATTTCTGACAGCTCATTTCGCCGATAGAAGGTTTCATCAGATGTTTTTTTTTCGATCAAACTAATTTTCCGAAAACTCAATTTTTCGATATGAAGTACAGTCAGACCTCTCTAAGTGCACACCCTTGGGGCCACACTTTAATAACGTGCATATAGAAAATAATAGGAAAAAGTGCATTTATGGAGGTCAAGTATATATTTGGGCAGCCACTTGAGCGTGCATTTAGAGAGGGTGTGCATTCATAGAAGGTGCACTTAGAGAGGTCTAACTGTATTATGGCTTCGGCAAAATAGTATTTCAGAAAATGGATTTCGGGAAGTTAACCCGTAACCCCGCCCTGTGAATTATACGGAATTCGCCGCAAATCCCGTATTTTATATATGAAATATTTCTTTATGGATTCTATACAATTTCCTAGGGCATAAAATACGGAATTTGCGGTGAATTCCGTATGTGATACGAAATTATACCAAATATTCCGGATAATTCATTTAAAACTCCATAAAACTTTTTCATAGGCTGTGTTACCATCTAAGTTGGAAGAGACAGCTCATGAACGCCAGTATAGTTCAGGATGGAAACAAATGATTAAGATGATTTATAATAATATATCTTTATTGTCAGAAAGGTCAAAAGGGCATCCGACTTCTAATCTTTAAAGGTCTTTAGCCTTTGAATACATGATTTCAGATAAGCATTTACAAATTCATATTTATACTAGCAGCTAACAGATCCATGAATAACCCCCTGGCTATCATCTTTATATCGTAACACCTAGTAGAAGTAGCGATAGTGATAGTGTTAATAATAAATGTTAAAAATGGTAAGTGGGTGTTTATAAATAATTTATAATAAAAAATATATTCTAACAAGCAAACTAGTCAGATTATATTATATTTAGAATTATGGAAAATGAATTAAGCCAAAAAGAAAAAAAAAAATACTTATCTTATGTTTTATATCCTGGAATTTAGAAAAAACATATTTGATATATTACTTTTAAAAACAAAAGATCTCTTATAGTATAACTTTAACACTTAGTAAAGTTCTTGTAGAAACTTGTAAGAAGTATAATTTGAATACAAAACAATATCTCATCTTTTTTTCAGATGACACTAATTATATGAGTAGTCAGATTAGTAATACTATAATATAATTTAATAAATTAAGTAAATATAATTGTATTCAAATATCTTGTGGGTTATACATGCTATAATTAATGTGGCAGATTAAAATGAAATCGGATTAAAATGAAATTTTTCTATTTTTTTAGGAAAATTTAAAATTTTTTGG